TATGCGTGTGCAGGAGGGCACTTGGAGGTAGTGCGGTATGTTGTAGAGACATGCGGGGAGGAGGTGCTGAGGGAGAAGGACAATGACGGCATGACATGCGCGCACATGGCGAGTGCTGGAGGGGACTTGGAGGTGCTGCGGTATGTTGTAGAGACATGCGGGGAGGGGCTGCTGAGGGAGAAGGACAATCGCGGCATGACTGGCTTCACTTTGGCTCGTAACTCAGATGTCAAGGATTATCTTAAAGGTTTAGGTATCGACTAGTCTCAGACTGAGCCAACAAGCTGCAGCCATAGAAATCGCTCTCTCATACCTATCAGAGCCCTAGTAAAAGCGAGCTCACCTCAGACTGGACCTACCCCAGCTAGGGGACAGCACTCAAGGCTAGGCTCAGCCTTGATCGTCAACAAAGTCAGTCAAACGACTCTCAAAGCGCTTGATGCATACAAGGACTAGATGTGCTCGGGAGGATGACCCCTGGTGCCTGAGAGAGACTCGCAAGTACGGGTGGCTTCCCTCACTGCTGGTAGGACGAGGAGCAGAAGCTTGCGAGGAGCGAGAGCTGGCAGGAGGCGAGTGAGCTCGAGCAGCAAGGAGCAGTAGCGCTAGTCCTTCCCTCAGGCTGTACGAGGATGAGCCTCTTGAGGTACAAGGGGCTGCTGTCTGCTGCTGGAGTCTAGCTGGCTGGTCTGGCATCGCCAGTACAGCAGACATCACTGCACTTGACCTCTGAGCGACGCAGCGGAGGAGCCGTGAGCGCTCGCTGTCAGCGTCAGCAGCCCGTGAGGCTTCGGGGGGGGAGACAAGGAGGAGGAGGAGGGAAGAGAAGGGAGGGAGAGCCGAGAGCCAAGAGAGGAGAAGCGAAGCCAGCATCCTCATGACTTGCCAGCCTCAGCACCCGCTGTCGCACATGCCTCCCCAGCAGGTGACCGAGCAGTACCAAGTTGGCAGCAAGAACCTGCTCCGAGGCTCGCAAGGTACTCGATTTTACTGTGGCCCTGCTTCAATGCCGGAATACAAGTTGTCGCTGACTCTGTACGGTAGATGGTACGGTGGCGACACGGGCAACGGTTTATAACGGTCGATCAGTCGGTACGGTAAGTTCCGAGTCTCCCCCCCCTTGTGCCTATCAGCAGCATCAAGTTTGAGAGAGGACAAGTGGGCGACGCCGAGGGATCTCCGAGGCTGGTGGAAGTTAAG